CCGGCAAGACAAAGAGACTCGGGGGATTGGGAAGCCGCTCGTGGGTACGTTGTTGTTCGCGTTTGGTTGGCTGCCTCAGCCTATGTCCGTCGCTGTAGCACGGAGGAGCCGTGGTGTTGCCGCCTAACGCCACCACCTCCGCCTTTCCCGGTGACGTTTGCTGTTGCGTCGCCGTCAATAAAGGCCGAGCTAGGGTTCTCTTCTGTCGTTGCTGCTGCTGCCATTAGCGTCGCCCCAAGTCCTTCTCTCTATCTCTCCAGTGTTAGGCAACCGTCAAGACCGCCGCTGCCACCTCTCCATGGTGCTGCCGTCGCCAACCGCCACCAGGAGGGTGGCTGGACTCGTTGCAAGAAATAGATCATATGGGTGTTTGTTATTTCATGTAGGTAGTGTTGGTTTGGTCGGAATTCTCGAGAACAGCCACCACCACCACCTCACGGTGGTGGCTACCACCATCTGCCACCGCCGGCCACCTTAAGGTGGCTATGTGTGTTTGTATTAGTGTGTGTGTGATTATTTGTGATTATTTGGCTATGAAAAGAAACTCAAACCACCACCGTAGGGTGGTGGCTGCCGCCACCGGCCGCTGTGTCGGGTGGCGGTGTGCCTTGCCGGATTGTGTTGACTCGTTTGGGGTGCTTGAAACCATAATGGGCCCAAAGAAGCCCTAATGGGCCCAATGAAGCCTAATGGGCTTAGTGAAAACCCTAATGAGCTTAATGATATTCTAGTGGGCCTAATAGGCCCAATAAAGCCCTAATTGACATAAAAGGCCAACAAATTGATAAATGGGCTAATATTTGGATTGGAAAACCCTAATGCCAATAAAACCCTAATTTTGAGAACTAATCGGGACGCACACACAGGAATTATTTAATAACTTGAGATATTAAATAATAATCATTGGCAAAGACTAATCTAAGCAATATTGGACTTAATGGATTAAGTCCTTAATGGGTTAAGTAGGAAACTTAACCCTAATCACCATTTTATGTGAAACTCTAATTTCACTTGGGTTATTGTTGGGCCTTTCTATTGGGCCTTGATGATTGAGTTATTAGTGGGCCATCCAAGATCAAGCAAATGGACTAGAATAATTAATGAGCTTTGAGGTAAGGCCCGTATGAGGAGTTGGGCCCAATTTGGAAAATTGGGCCATAGATGGGCGATAGTTTGGGCCTTTATGATTATGTGATATTGGGCCATTAGAATGTTGAATGTTGGACTGGACTAAATGGTTGGCCTTATGGTAAGACCTTGTAAGGGTTTGGGCCTAATTTGGAAAATTGGGCCATATGTTGGGCTTTGAGCCATAGTTGGACTTTTGGGCCTTGGATTGGGCCTTGGGCTTGAATAAAGCCTAGCACGGGGTAATGTAGTAATTATCCAAAGTATGTACTTATGGTTATGTAGTGGAACCCAATAATTAATTGGGTGTTATTTTGGTGTTGACAGTTCGGGAATCTGTCAGCCAGCAGCTGGGGTTGAGTCTGCGGGACTTCAGCAGTATGGGATTGTGTCTACAGGACTTCAGCAGTGTGAGGTGAGTTACCTTCCAGTAGCGGTGGGTCTACGGCCACAATGCCGGCCCACCAGTAGGAGTTGTATGTTAGATGATTGTCTTTGTGATATTCATCTAGATTTGCTACTACCTGATATGTTATATGCTGGCATGATATGTTATATGTGATAGTGGTAGTAGGGGGAGAATAGTCCCCAAGTTCGGTTGTTAGGACCGAATGGTAGGTCGGACACCCCAGATATGTCTGACAGTATGTTATGATATGTTTATATGCTGGCATGATATGTTATATGTGATAGTGGTAGTAGGAGGGGAATAGTCCCCAAGTTCGGTTGTTAGGACCGAAGGGTAGTTCGGACACCCCAGATATGTCTGATAGTATGTTCATGTTATGATATATATGATAGTAGCAGTAGGGGGTGGAATAGTCCTCGAGGTTCGGTTGTTAGGACCGATAGGTAGGTCAGCACCCCAGAATGGCTTGACATGGGTAGGTCGGCACCCCAGAATGGCCGTACCGGGTAGGTCGAGCACCCCAGAATTGCCCGACAGTATGTAGGTTATGTGATTGTATGGTATGTGGTACGATGGGGGAAATCACTAAGCTTTGTGCTTACGGTTTACAGTTTTGGTTTCAGGTACTCGTTTTCAAAGGAAAGGAGCCGGTTTGATCGCAGCGCATCACACTATGGTTTTCCGCACATGAGATCTTTGGGATTACACTATGATATTGTTTTATGATAACATGTTTTGATTATTTCTACTTTGGTTTTGACATGACATGGTATTATGGATGTTTATTATACTGTTGGTTTTATAATAACGTATTTAAAAATGAAAGTTTTGGCCTTGAAAATTGGGATGTTACATATAAGCATACATTGAACATAAAACAATAATGTAGTAAATGGATACTTTAGTTCATTGAAAGAAGTAGGTTACAATATCCCATAGTCTAGGGTGCCAGAAAATGAAAGTTACAAAACGAGCTTTAACGGATAGGCAACAAAGGAAATACTAAAATATAAAAAAAGAATGCAATCCCATGATCATCCTTATAGTATGTCTTCTAATAGTCTAAGCTCCTGAGAATACATGTGTTTAGAAAAAATGTTAACTAAAAAGTTGGTGAGTTCACAGGTTTCTAATAGCTTAATCAAAAACATACTTTTTCCCTAAAGTATATCTATATTAGAGTTGGTATACACTTTTCGAGACCAAAAAACATTATTTGGATATATAGATAGTTTAATATCATATATATAGTGTATCTTTATTATCCTGAATTTTCATAACTAAGTTCTTGATAAAAAGATATTCCTTATAGGTATTTCAAGTTTCCTATATTCCTTTATATCTTATAGGTATTTCAAGTTTCCTAGATATATTCCATTCACTGTGAGTGCCATAATCCAGCTAGTTCAGACTGATATGCCTCTTCCGACGCTTCATCACGACACCGATATAGTAATAAGACAATTACCACCCAGTGTGACTCGACCGTCAAGGTTGTAGCTAGCAACCGTAGGTGGGGGTGTCAGCCCATATAGATCAATACATAATTCTCCTACTCCTTAGGAATTAACAGTTATAAGCCATATGTCTTTCTAAGTATAGTGATACATAGGTTGATAAACAGAAGGCTCAAATGAATTTGAAGTTTATTAATAACCCTAACTTTAATAACAAATTTTTGGTTACTAATCCGGCAGTAATATACAATACTACAAATATTTCTTAATTCAAGGTTCCACAGTAAGACTACTATATTGGGTATTAAAATAACATTATTACAATACAAACCTAATATATCTTTTATTTAAATAGATTCCCGATATAGTTTAAATAACATTTCTATAAACCTAATAGAAATAAAACAGTTTGTTTCATGTACCCCCCCCCTGCGGAAAACGATAAAAGACTGTAAATGGAGTCGTGACACTCACTTGGTTGAAGCGTATGCGACAACCCGTACAAAATACGATTTTACAAAAATTAGCAGTTCCGCACTCTGATGAATAGTGACTTTGACTGATGAATAGTGATGTTGATCGACATGAATAGTGACTGGTCGGAGTTTGATTGGAACACCACTGAAATTTGGCAGGAAAACTGCTTCGGCGATGGTAGACGGTTGCCGGCGGCGGCTGTTGATGTCGTAAGCTACGTCGGAGGCTTCTGGTAGGTAGGAGGTGGTTACAGAGCTTTGTCGTCTGTTGGATTGGAGGAGGAAGAGCGACAGTCGATCATCTGACTTACTCACGCTTTTTGGTGCGTCGACTTATGGCGAATGGCGGTGGTCAGAACCTAGAGAGTGAAAGAGAGACATGTTGGGAGAGAGAGGGAGGGAGAGAAATGGTGCAAGAATAAAGGGAAGGGGACCCTTCCTTTTATAGGAAGTCTCATCTCGATCTAACAGCCACAATTGATTCCAATCCAACGGTCGAGATCATACCTAGCTTTTTAACTCTTATCCTCCGCAGGCGACATGTTTTTGGGAACTTTTGAGTGTCGGCGTAAATATTGTTACTAAGCATTTCAAAGTGTTTTTCGGACATTATTCGTTTACAGTCGCGAACTTTCACTTTGTAAAATAGTCAATATGACGTGTGATGGAAAAGTTAGCTCTTGAATCAAAGACTACATCAAAACCTAATTCGTAATATATAACTAACTTTTCGATAAGAAACCTGGAAATGATTCTACAGGTTCTACGAAGATTACTTGGGGAAGAAGGCAAACCTTAGCCATTCAATCCTATCATCAACAACTCTAGTTTTTTTCGGGCATGAAAAGCTAGGAACATGATAACTTCATAAATTGAATGAGTCTCGTGGGAAAATTGTTCCGGATTAAAAATTCATTTCCGAAGACGTTTCATTTTTCATATAAAGTCAGGTTTTGAAACCTATCAGGTAGTGGGTTATTACCCGGTTGTACATATTCTTAAAACAGTCGTATCTTTTGCATAAGAACTACATTTTTGATGTTCTGTCTAAATTTTCCTTTTTTCATGGAATAGGTGACGAACCTATTGATACCACATAATAACTAGTGTCATACCCGTCCGCCGGACAAGTTGACAAATATATGAATAGTATTTTGATTTATCTTAAGCTTACTGCATATTACTTTCATTCATTTATATATTAGTTCAGATAAAATCACCCACAACGACAAACCAAGTAATATCTTATGGAAAAACCTAGTAAGATCATTTGGCATATGGCACCCCAACAATAATGTGTTTCGTCATAAGGACAAAAAAACATGAATGTACCATGTCATTCCATACATTTAAAATTATTGAATAATAAATATGTCTAAAACCTAATATAAAAAGTTTAATCTACCTAAAAATTTCAATTAACCTATAAAAAAACTGAGGACTACGATAATATGAAAACTGAAATTTGAAAATTTGAAGAGAAAGACAATTTAGAAAACAACGTCAAAAAACTTAAAAAGTAAAATGAATTCAACCAACATTGTCATCTTCCAAAGACTCGTCACACAATCGTGGTAGTCGACGCTTCATTGGTGTTATTGAGGATCCGATAAACGATTTTTCAGAAGAATCAACTTCAATAACAGCACAAGCATCCTAATTGTAAAAAAATGGAAAAGGAAAATAAGAATAATAACTAACAAAGTAATGTATCAAATGAGGTGTTAATAATAGTTGAAATTTTGTACACAATATATTGTAACTTACTTCACTTTCTCCACCATCTTGTAATCCACATATGGAGATAGGTGTCTTAGACATATCATCTTCAATAGTATCATCACCAACCTAATTGAACAGATCAATAAGAAGAATAAGAAAACTTCAAATGTATCAAATGAGGTGACAATAATCGTTGAAATTTTGTTCCATATCGTAAGGAAAATAGAAACTATACACAATATGTTGTAACTTACTTCACTTTCTCCACCATCTTGTAAACCACATATGGAGATATGTGTCTTAGAAATATCATCTTCAATAGTATCGTCACCAACCTAATTGAATAGATCAATAAGAACAATAAGAAAACTTCAAACCTAAAAAAAATATACAACAATAGTATAAAAAATATGATAATACATTGTCACATCTGTCACTATCTTCCACATCCTTTTCATCAGATACACTTTTTGTAACACCATCATTTTCATTACTATTAAAAGCAACCTAATTATAAGAAAATAACATAAGTAAAACCATATGACAAAACATAAGTTACAAGTTACATTATTAAATACATTTCACATGTCTAACCTCATACATAGGTGCCACAATAGCATCATCTTTCATATTACCAGAAGCATCCTAGTAAGAAAAAATAAAAGATAAATAATAAGAATATCAAATAATGTAATTGAACTAAATATATAACAATTTAAACTGAATAGAAAGAAAACATGGTATGAATTAATTATTGCACTCAATATTATTTACTTTATAAATGAGCTTGTCAGAAACATCAACGTGATGATTATCACAAACGACCTAATAATTGAGCAAAGTGAAATACATAAAGAAACATAAGATATAACGAATATAACTTATATATATATATATATATATATATATATATATATATATATATATATATATATATAATTTGTAGTAAAAAATACAATAAGCAGTACCGTTATTGTTGATGTTGCTGATTTAGGTGACACTGATTCAACAACATTTGTTTGAATCGGAAATAAACCAACATCATCCTAAGTATGCACACAAAAAAAAACAATATCAAAGTAACAAATGAAGAATTTCAATATGTAACAGAAATAAAATTGGTAAACAAAACATTATAACTTACATCTTTACATTCTGTATGATGTAATTCCAAAATAGAAGCACTGAAACCCTCATCTTTGACATTACGCAAGTCATCCTAATACGAAAAAAATATAAATAATGAACATATTAAATTAAGATAATTTAAGAAAATATGTAGTAAAAATCATTTAATAAACGAAACATGATCCGTAGCATAATTTGTAAATTTAAGATTATTTACATGAGAATTGCACTTATGAAAAACACAAACTCCTTGATAAGCAAACAAAAAAATAAATACAAAAACAAAAAAAATACATATTGTAAAATAATATATGAACAATACAATAAAAAATGTATAATGTAAGATCCAATAAACTTTACCGTTGATGCAGATGATGGAGACAACAATGATTTGAATACAGTTGTTTGCAATTAAGAAATGACCTCATTTGTAGGCAACGTCTTTTCTTGGTTTGGAATTTTACAAGTTGCACCATGGTATTTACTAACCGTTAAACGACGCACATATTGTGGTGCCAAATTGTAATGGTCAATCTTAATTGAAAAAACAATACTTAGATCATATAACCTTTCAAACAGGAAAGTACGTACCCAATTAGGATCATTACCACCCTATAAAAACATAATAAAATTGTATTATATGTAAGCATTTGTGTGGGTGTTTCAATATATATATATATATATATATATATATATATATATATATATATATATATATACAACAGTACCTCCAATAAATTCATATTAACTAATTCACCAACAGTAAGGCCAATAAGTTGAGTAGCATATTCATTAAAGAAAACACATCTCATTTGCTTATCCTTATCAGCTACTTCAACTACCAACTTATACCTAAACAAAAGTTTTTAGAAACATCATATAAGTATTATATATATATATATATATATATATATATATATATATATATATAAACATACACTTGACGCGGGTTAATTATATTTTTCTGACAGCCAGAACAAAAATAGTGATTATCAACGAAAGTACCCTTCTTATAGCATCTTAAACACTGGATGAACTTCCAATCATTAAACATATCTATGGCAATGATGGTTCCAACAACAGTGTTCTGTGTACCCTTCATAAATGAAAAATAGATATAATTAATTACATATTTACTATAATAATTGATATTTCATAGTAATAAGGTACTACCTCAATGAAGCCTTTTTGTATATCACTATACATATTTTCTATGGTTGCCACAGAAGGACGTTCAACTTGCCTCTCCGATTGAAACAAGACATGCATCGCTTGACTATAATCCGACAACATAAGAAAGTAACGTATATTGATAAATGTGTTAAAACAAATTAACAAATAATAAATATAATAACACGGTTACTTTGATTTGTATGTAGCAACAATGTCTATTGGAAGATTAAAATACAATTCAGATCCAACTGTAGTTCTCAAACTTGGAACACCTACAATAGTAACAAATAATATATATATATATATATATATATATATATATATATTATATATATATATTACATGTAAACATAATTAACATCTTATTTCTAAAAAAAGAAATTACACCTCTGAACAATACAACTTTGCAAGACGTTACAATGAGTACAATTTTCATCTCGTTAAAACTGTTGATATGTTCATCGGTGTACTTCTTGGCCAACTTACCCCACAATGTTATACTCACTTTCATATCACTGCACCAAATAAATTTAGTAATAACCATCAACCAATGTTGTAACATATTAAATTATCGCAATTATATAAATACTCATAATGTACCTTTGATCAGAAAGAACAATCTTTCGCAATCCAACTTTACATGAGTTAGATGGTCGTGATGTTTCCTCCAGAGAACCCCACTCACAAAGATTCCCAATGACATCTACAATTTAATAAGAAATTACTTAAGATTTTGCAATCTAATAACAAACGTAGCAAAACAATTTTAACTTGTAAGATATTTGTCGTCACCCACACGTGAACTAAGCTCATTGAACGGAAATAAGTCAAAAACATAACGTTGAAAGACTGTTGATGGCAAGTGGGAAGCAGTAATTGACGTATCAGCAAGAAATTTAAAAAAGATGTCCTTATGAAGTGGCCGATATAATGATTGACAAGGTAAAGCCGAGAATTTATATATCCTACAAACACATCCCTCTTGTACAACATCAGTAAACTTGCACACGAATGAACTTGCAACGGTTGCATGAATAGAAGATCCTTGTTAAATGCGAGTAATATTATAATATACAAAATCTATATACTAATGCAAAGTCAGAAATACTTAATCAAATATACTTACATTTTCATCACAAAGAATCAGATCTAAAGAGAAAACACGATTTGTTGAAGGGTTGTATGTTGTCCACTTACGTGTGACCATCACATGTACTTGCAACTTATCAGTAATGTTAGGCCTCAAATCACTTATCATCAGATAATTGGAACTGATCGTCATGTCTTCCTATATACATATCCATAACATATTGCAATCAAACGATCGATATCCAACAAAAATCAAAATTCTAATCAAACGATCGATATCCAACATAAATCAAAATTACTAATAAAGAAATCGACCAGAAGTTCGATTTATAACAGCACCAGTGTGATCATTAATCAGTGTAATCATTAAACGATTATTACATACTTCAACAAACAAAAATAAAGTAAGACTAACCTTGCACGCACAAATTATGTATACTATGAAATCAAAAAAGAGGCAACTACGTTTACTGATACCCTGAAGGACAATATGCAGTACCAGACAACAATAGTGATCGACAAGAGGTTGAAGACCCTGAACAATCGAATAAGTTGAAACATTAGAAGAGAACGTGGAGCTACCGATCATTGGCAGTTAACAGCGGAGAAATAGGAATGAGGGATAAGTCGCATATATTCAATGGAGATAGACGATATCAATTAGGGTAAAACGTTAAGTAATATCTACAATTATAGTTGATCGCAAGTTATAAAACAATATAAAAATAAGGACACAGAGAATGTTTCGATGTACTACAATGCACATAATTCATTTAATCGCAAGTTATAAAATAAACGTGCAGAGCAAATCTGATGTAACAGGTTAAAGAAGAAACAGTTACATAGACTACCCCTCAACTTTACTCCCAAGTTTTCGTAAACTCCAATCATGTAAACAGTGCAAATTCTATTATTGCCCTCAATTTTTTATATACATATAAATAACATTTAAATAAACAAATAATAGATAAAAAAACAAAAGAAAAAAGCAAAACGTATACTTTAAATTTCCCTCATAAAATTTCTTATATTTTAATACTCTGAAACTACTTAACTGAATTTAGTAGGTATAAATTAGGTTAAATGGTTTTATTTTTATTATTAATATTTTTTACAACAATAAATCAGATTGACATGTAAGCTAAAACAGCCAAAAATGCAAGTAAGGGCAAGACGGTCCAAAAAAAGAAATAATGCAGCAGGGGTAAAACGGTCCAAAATAATTAAAACGAATTACGAATCTGTTATAACCGTACACAAATATTACACGCATTTTAATTGTATGGATGCTAACCGGTTTCAATTCATACAACATCTATATTGTAAATAAAGGTAGATGATTTAACTATTTAAGCATTATACTTTCAAATATAGCATAATTTTTTCAAATTAAAAATAATGCTTTTTTTTTCTTATTACTGTTTTTTACAATAATAAATAAAAATGGCATGTACGCTAAAACAGTGAAAATGCAATAAAGGGCAAAACGGGACAATATATAAAATGATGCAGCAGGGGTAAAACGGTCCAAAATAATTAAAACAAATTACGAACCGTTATAACCGTACAAAAAGATTATAAGAGAGGAATATGGCTTTAGCCAAACAACTTGCTGCATTAAATATGTAAGCGCAAGAAACAAACCTTCAGTTTTCATTTTTTTTTTCAATTTTAAATTTTTTCTAGATTAATGATTACGGTCTTATGAAGCACAACACTTTGGGGACAGATGAATTCTATGCATGTAAAAAGCTTGAAAAAACGAAAGAGAAGTTACAAATGGGGAGGGGTAAAACAGTCCGAAAAAAAACATAAAATCGTCCAATAACGAATAACGAATATGTTACAATAACGATTTTTATTGTAAATAAGAATTAGAATGTAAAGTATGATGCTATAATTTACAGTATAATGCTTAATTAAGAAAAGATAACATAATTACTTTTTTTATTATTTGTGTTTTTTACAACAAAAACTCAAAATTACCTGTAACATAAAACACTGATAATGCAAGCAGGAGTAAAACGGTTACTAATTATTAACAATGCAGGAGGGGTAAAATGATTCAATATCATTAAAACCAATTAGAAATTTGTTAATGAAAATTAATTTCTATTTGAATCACATTGCTATGATTGGTAGATTTTCAAAGTAAAAAGATTTAATAGGAAGAATGAAAGTGGGATGCTATAATAGCCCTAATGGAAGTATTAAAGCGATTGTAGTTGTTAATTTACTTGTTAATTTACTACCGAATGGTTGAAGTTAGTAAATGATGCGTATATATATTTCCTTAAAAAATTATAGTTTTTTAATAAATCAAATATAATATATGATACTTCTGTATTAAAAAAAAGGATGAACAAACCATTACATGATTATTTTTATGAAAAAAAAGAAAAATTTGTACCTATTAAGAAATAAGCCTCTTCATGAACTTATGCATTTATGAACAGGATTATACCTGTATCGGAACCTGCATTGCACTCATTCAATGTTGTTTATTCCATGTAATGGTAAATTATAGAAAACTTCTTTGTAAACAACATTCTTTGTCATACTTTTACCACACTTCCCGTTGTTGTCAATATAAAAGTGAAGACCAGCACGAGAGGTTACACGAGACGCTGTCACGTAAAGCTGACCATGTGAAAAAACAGGTTTCACCAAGAAAGCACATACATGATTAAACGTTTGCCCTTGACTTTTGTTGATTGTCATAGCGAAGCAAACTTTGACATAAAATTGTCTTCTTTTAAATCTAAAAGGCCATGTTGTGTCCGATGCAGTCATATCAATCCTCCCAATTAATACTTTCTCTCCAATATGAGTACCAGTAATAATCACCGCCTCCAAAACCCTCCGATTAATTTATGTGATGACCAACCGAGTCCCGTTGCACAAACCTCTTTGCAAATTTAAGTTACGTAACAAAATGATTGGTGCACCAACCTTTAAGTTTAACTTATGGTTTGGAATTACTGAGAACCGCAACGTGTTAAGAAATTCTGAAGAATACATAATTTCCAATTCGGCAAAATTATCAGTACTTTAACAAATCTCATCATCGCTTAACATTTCATGCATGTCACCAGACATCTTACAAAGCACATGTAAATTGATCATGTCAACATCATCGTTTGTCGGGTAAAGGATGCATCGTTCCTTTATGTAAGACATGTCATTAAGTCTACTCAAAATATTTGGGAATACAATGGATGTAACAGCATTAATAGGATTATCAGCAATAGGAATAAGAAGATCATCAGGTATAGTGATCCATGTACCATCATCTTCACCTTCAACTGTACACGTAGGAAGCCGACCAACACCCATATCAAGAATCCATTTACTAAAATCACGCATTTTTATAAGTTCATCGCCAGTAATGTTTTGATCAGATAAACACATGTTTGTTGTCAAAACAAAAAAACGACATGAATTCCATAGACATTCTGATTTGTTTATACAAGAGGACACAACATCAGAACGGGTTCCATGTTGAATAGCAGGCAAAATTTGACGAAAATCACCCCCAAGAACTACCACTTTCCCTCCGAACACTTTGTTTTCAGATCCAGCAACATAATAACGACATACATCACGAAATGCACGATCAACAGCTTCAAATGAATAACGATGTTGTAATGGATCTTCGTCCCAAATAATCAGCTCAGCAATATTAATCAACTCTGCGAGATCTGAGCCAACATCGATACCACAAGTTGAGTCTTTATCAATATCAATAGGAATATTAAACCTGGAATGCGCTGTACGACCACCATGTAATAACAAAGAAGCAATGCCAGATGACGCGACTGATAAAACAATCTTTCCATGCGATCGAATAGAAGCAATAATTGTTCTCCACAAATATGTTTTGCCTGTCCCTCCACAACCAGATACAAAATAAAAGTCACCTGTCTTTGTCAATTTTTTCATTGACAACATTAATTATAATAGTATAAACTTCTTTCTGTTGCACATTTAAACCACTGTAAAGCTCATTGAAAATCCTTATTTCTTCTTCGACGTTGTATGTCCGCTCAGCAGCAATTAACCTATTCGAACCTATACTTAACAAACTATGGTTTAACTGAGGTAGATTGGGGAAATCAACCAACGAACGACAATTCCCATATAAAATATTATCGATATAAAGCAGAGTGTAGTTTACCAACTCATCACGCGAGAACATTAGATCTTCATTATCAAGCAATCTACGTTGATTATAAGCATCATTTTCTGATAAAAACGGGAAACAATCCCAAAAAAAACTTTTCTTGATCAGTAACATCACAAAATAACAAAATAGTTGCAAATAGTTCTCGAAGTTGCTTTCCTGACTGCCATTGGGAAGCCTCTCGGATTGACTCAACCCATTCACCATCATCTCCTAGTAACCTCAACGCTTTGCAAGCAGACATATAGGTCGGATGCTCAACACCATCAACAGTGCGAATATCTTTAAAACTGCAGGGTCCACGTACAACATTTAGTAGCATATGAAGATAATACCTTTCTCCTTCATTTGGATTTACAAAATATAACCGACCAATAACCAAACCATTTTTACGTGGCCTCCATTCCTTAACATCCCCTTTTTCATGCCATGTAAACTTCGTCGGGAAGTCTGAATAAGTTAACAATCGGGCTTCTGCATATAATTGATTTGCTCTCATCCATTCAGTAAACTTAGACACCGCAGATACCCTCCTATCCAAAATCTTTGCAATATCATCATCTTCTCTAAAGTAAACTCTTTGACAATCCTCTTCATGAAATGGTAGTCTTTCTACTGCAACCGAGCGATACTGCATCTCAAAGCCCAACAATTTCCAACATGCTTCTGATCCAGAAATGTAACGACAATTAATATATTCTTCGATCTCATTTTCGTTGTGCAACATCGATATAAAAGATCGTGTTCTGTCTGGACCTTCCAAAACAGCAGTTGCACGATCATGGCCTTTATTAATGTAACTAAAAAGATACTTAATCAAACTGCCTTGGTTGCAATACTCAACATTTATATGACAACCATATTTGACAAGCAAATCGACATTATGAGGAACAACGTATCGGTTATCAAGCATGATATCCTCATTACCAACTTTAACTTTCGAACCATCGATAGACCTTTTATAACAGGGCCAACCATCACGCCTAATGAAAGTTTCATCGCAATATTCCTTTGGGTACCCTTTAGAACAACTTCCATTGTGCATACATGGACTTAAAGTGTTAAGCTGGCCACATGGACCATGCATCATGTGACTACGAACAGCTTCAAAAGCAGCTGGGTCATTTTCCTGAGAAGGCAACTCTGCCGATACAAATTGATCAATCTTTTGGGCTGTGGTTATTTTATCTGGCGGATGAAGAAACACAAGACAATGACAATGTGGCAACCCACGTTTTTGGAACTCAATTGTGTAAATAACTGCATACACATATAATTAAAATTATACAGCAAAATAACATACATTAAAATTAAAGACGAAAACAAATATATTAAGAAAACATACCGGCTTTTGTACGACCAAAATGATGTTTTTTCCTTATGTCATTCATCAGCTCATCAAGCTT